GGGGCAGAAGACCTAGGACTGGGGCAGAGGACCTATGACTGGGGCGGAAGACCTAGGACTGGGGTGGAAGACCTAGGACTGGGGCAGAAGACCTGGGGCAGAAGACCTAGGACTGGGGCAGAGGACCTATGACTGGGGCGGAAGACCTAGGACTGGGGCGGAAGACCTAGGACTGGGGTGGAAGACCTAGGACTGGGGCGGAAGACCTGGGGCAGAAGACCTAGGACTGGGGCAGAGGACCTATGACTGGGGCGGAAGACCTAGGACTGGGGTGGAAGACCTAGGACTGGGGCAGAGGACCTAGGACTGGGGCAGAAGACCTAGGACTGGGGCAGAAGACCTAGGACTGGGGCAGAAGACCTAGGACTGGGGCGGAGGTTCAGCTTCCAGCAGGAGAACCAGCCTGAAAGGAGCGGCCTAGTCAAAGCCCAGACCTGAACCCAGCAGGGAACCTGTGAAAAAAACTGATGTTCTCCATCCAATCTGACAGAGTGGGAGAGTTTCTAGAACAGAGTCTAACAGCAGGAGGAGGTTCTACAAAGTTCTGACCCGAACCGACTGAATGCACACCACAGCTTTCTATTAGCAGTGATGATTGAAAGGATCAGAACATTTGGTTCTGATCCGCTTTCTGCCACAGAACTACAGAAGAACAAAGTGGAAAAGTTTAGAGAGGTTCTGTGTGATGAACCGGTCCGATCCGGTCCGATCCGGTCCGATCCGGCCTCCTACCTTGTAGAACTTGGCTCCACTCTCGTTCTGGAACAGAGTCAGGGTCTTGGTGTCCAGCCTCCAGTAATGCCTCTTCCTCTGCAGAGACAGACACAGTGACATCATCTTCCTCAGTCCCCGCCCCCCCCGTACCTGGTGTAAAGGTTCTGTGGGGTTCTGGTCTCACCAGGTTGTCCCGGCTCGTGTAGTGGACCATCCAACCCTCTTTGACCACCGCTGAGCTTTTCCTCTTGGTGTGTTTGATGGACTGGACCACCCTCATCAGAGGGATGTTGCTGCTGGTGCAGGGGCTGCGACACGATTGGTTAAAACACGGTGAGGGCGAGTCTTCCTGATCAACGAGCCAATCAGAGGGCGTTCTCTCACCTGATGGCTCTGAGGGTCTCGTCGTCTTTCTCTCCCTCGGGACACGGACCCTCCAGGAAGAAGAGTTTGTCCTCAGGCGTGGACAGCTCGTCCTGCTCGTCCATACTCTGACCGCCATCGCTGTTCATGTCACAGATATCCACCTCCATGGTGGCCTCCGAGTCCAGACTGGGACTGAGTGGCTCTGGATCAGAACCAAACCAGGCTAGTTTAATGGATTAGCTGTGGCTCTGGATCCATTTTAATTGCTGCTCACTTCCACTTGGAACAAAAATACTAAATTGTCCTAAGCTCCTCCCACAAAGACACCAAATCTACATCCATGTTAAACTGGTTAACGTGGTCTAATTCTAGTTTAAACTGGTCTAAATTCAGTATAACCTGTTTTAAGCTCAGGCTAACCTGATCTAAATCCAGGTAATTGATGAAAACAATCAGTCAGTTCATCATTAACTCCATCTGCCCACTAATTAATTTATTGCTAACTCCGCCCACATGTTTCACCCTGCAGGGCTTCCATCTTGTTTTGGTTTTATTTACAGTCTGGCAGACAGAGGTGCGAACATCTGATGCTGACTGATGAGCAGCTGCTGTCAATCAGGAAACCGCTGCAGCTCCGGATGGTTTCCCGTTTCCGGATCCCAGGAATTTCCGGCTCTGCAGGACGCTGCGGGTTCTGGACCGTCTGCAGCCGTTCTCAGAACCAACATTAAAGATTAATGGATGTAAGAAGAGAGCATGACTCACCTCCATTAAAGTCCACCTCACCCAGGCAGTCCCGGGGAACCTTGGCAGCACATCTCTTATGGCAGTTAAACTTACAATCTACAGCACAGAAAAGAAGGCGTTCATCCTCCATGATGGTCCGGCGCTGCTGGTACTGGTTCTACTGGGAGGCGTCTGCTCACCTTTGCACTGCAGGCCCTGTCTGAAGAGCCCTTTGAGGAGCCGCTTGCAGTACTGGCAGATGGTGGGGCGGGTGTAGGTGTGGATGGAGAAGGTGTGGGGAACTTTGACCCGACCCAGGACCATCTTCTCCATCCAGATGGGACGGCCGCTCAGCAGCGAGTTCCGCTTCCCAGCGCCCAGAAGGGGGCGCTGTTGGTGCAGAAACTATGAGAAACCAACATGTCAGAAGATTAAGGAACTCAGCGAGAACCAAGCAGCAGCAGCAGCAGCTGTGGCCGGGAAGAAGAACCTGCCCAGTTCATCAGAACTTTCTGCCCAGTAAACCAGAACCAGTCCTGTTCTGTCTGCAGGATGTTTGTGACCCGAACACTCAGAACCGCTCTGATCTCATCCCTCATGTTGAAGGTCCACCTGAAGCTGGGCGGCTTCACCCTGCAGAGACGGTGGCGCTGATCGGGTCGTTCAGGTTCTGAGGCGTCGAGTCTTCGCAGGTCGCTGTTCTGATGATCGGAGCAGCTCGGTATGTGTGTTAATGGCTAATTACCAGCCTTCTGAGGACCTCTGTAACTCATCCTTTTTTCTTTCTGGCCTTCAGCCCAACTGAGATTAGATTTTAATATTTTAAACTGTTCTTTTAAATGCATTTATTAATCGTTTTATTGTGTTTTTCCAACAATGTATTAATGTGTGCTTAGTTTGACTATTTTAACCCTTATTTTTTCTTTTATGACTTTTGTGGTTTAGAGCTGCTGTTAAATCGCTTAATGGATTAAATTAGTGATGATGATGATGAAGATGAAGATGGTTAGGAATAACAGAAAGTAACTGAAATGAATGTTACTTAAAGTAAAGTCCTGATAATTGTCGCCATAGAGACGGTTTGCAGTTCTGACTCGGATGGAAAATCCAGTGTGTGGCCTGCAGCTATCAGAGCGGGAGTGTGTGTGTGTGTATACCTGTCTAACCCTCAGAGTGAGGACCATTTTTCCAGTTTCACCATCAAACTGAGGACCAGTTGCCGCTAAGTGAGGACATTTACTCCATCTCATTGAGCTGGACTGAGTTGGACCTCTGTGCTCTAGCTAATCCCCACCAGGACGTGTTCAGAACAGAACCGTCCTCCTGTCCCGGTTCCACCTCCCCGCAGGGAGAACCCACCTCCTCGTGCGGCACCGGGGGCAGCTCGGCGGCGGGGGGGCGAGCCACGGACACGGCAGAGGGACCTGGCAGAGAAACGTTGGACAGCCGTCTCTTCCGGACCCCGCTGCAGTTGTTGGGGATCTTGAATGCGCAGCGTTTGTGGTAGTTCAGGCCGCATCCTGCAGAGGAGGAGATCAGGGAATCGGTTCTGAAGGTCAGAGGTTAAACATCGGCAACGGAACCGAAGCTTAGAGGTTAGAGGACGGAAGGACGCCATCGCTTCTGGTCCTGTTCGTCAAGATCTCCTCACCTTCACACTTCAGGCCCTGTCTGACCAGCCCCCACAGCATCTCGCCGCAGTCGTCGCAGAACGCCGGCGCCTTGTAGGAGTGGACGTAGAGAGCGTGGGGCCGGATCTGGAAGTTCTCCTGCGTGGCCAGAGCTGAAACGGAAGCAAACAGTCAGACGGCCTGGAAAGAATCCAGAGCTTTCAGACCCCAGAATGAAAGAAACCATGTTGTCCATTTGGACCAGATGCTTAAGGAACAACCTGGAAGATAAAGCGGACTCAGGAAACGTGACTCCTCCCATCAGAACGGACACCAGGGGCCATGAATGGAGAATAAATCAAAAAGGTTCTGAATATCCCATCGGATCAGAACCGTTAGCTGAAGATTCTGGGGGAAAATCGGGGAAAATTCTCAAACTGTACGTTTGATTGTAGCGAAACTTTAAAAAGTGGGACAGGCTGGTTTAAGGTGGGAATGATGGTTCAGATGGACCCAGAACTGGATCCATCATGGCTGACGTTGGTTGGATCAACCCGGCCGACCAATGGCTGCCAACAGGAAACGCTGTGAAGCAGCAGCAGCAGGAGGAGTACGAGGAGGAAGGTGCAGCAGAGCTCTGCAGCTTCCTGGAGGAAGCGCTGCTGACTGGTTTCATCCTGCAGAGCGAGCAGAAGCAGCTGCTGCTGCTGCTGCTCAGTGCTTTCACAGGGAGCCTGTTGACATGGAGCAGGAAGTGACATCATTTTACAGAACGCTGCGGTTCAGAGCAGCAGCCGTAACCCGGCGCCCACCGCCGCAGCGAAAGGAAGTTAGGTCTGCACTGAGCTCATCTTTACAGACGGGAGGAAGTGGAGATGAAAGGGCTGATAAGTGAGGATGGCTTTGACTTCTTCTAAACACTGCAGCTTCGTTTCAGATCCTTCTGAAAACATCTCAGCAGCTTCATGCCGCTAACATTCCCTGCTGCTGTCAGAGTACCTGAAAGCACCACCTCCACCAGGTCGCCCTCCTGGATCTCCTCGGCTGACGTCACGCGCTGCAGGATGTTGTCTGAGCTCAGGTCGTGGCGGAACAGAAGGATCTTGTCGTACATCCCGAAAAATCCACATTCTGGGAACTGAGGAGAAAACGGACGCAATGAGCCGCTGGTTCTGTTTGAACAGATGAAAGTTCTGGAGCTCAGAGAGGAAAAGATCCAAGTTCTGATCCAGTTCATCGGTTCTGACCGTCAGAAACTTTAAGAAATAAAACCTTTAACCATGAAGATCATCTCAGAT